TTTTTTTGCTTCTCTATGGTTGCAGGCACTTATTATAGGATTTTGTAGTCAGTCATTACAGAAGAAGGGCAGCCTACTGCTCCCAGGCAGAATGCTGACAGGTAGCAGCTTAATGTTTGTGTTTGGGGGCTTCCTGGTGCTCCCAGGACCAATCTGCTCCTCTGTCTCTATCTCTGTCTCCATCTCTTCTAACAAGCACAACACATATGCTCACAATCCTTCATCACAAAGAAGAATGTTGCTTAAAATTTTATCATATTTAAACTAAAACATTGGAAAGGAAAATAGATAATTGACTCAACTATGCTATGCCAAATTCAGTTTTATAATTACATACCCTAGAAATACACAGATTTAATCTGACCTGACAGTATTCTAACATGAAGTTCACAAAACTTTTGTTTTACAGAGTTGATTAACATACACACAAAATTTAACATCTTGCTCTCTGCTGATCTTCACTTTACTTGTGAGAATGCATTTTTCTGACATAAAATTCTCAGTAATGTAATAATATATTTTCTCTAACAAATTCACTATCATGAGCTCCCAATGCTGTGTGATATTAAAATAAACAACTTCATTTAGTAAACTTCCATTTTTCTCAGCCCAATCTCAGTGATTCCTTTTAACCAATCCCAATGTTTCACTCCTTCACATTTATATTTTATGTGCTCCTGGGGCCTCCCCAGTGGCACAAGGAGTTAAGACACAACCTATAAAGCTGTCCACAGTCTCTGCAGCATGAGTTAGATCCCCTAGCAGGCCAGGGAGCAACCCACATGGCACAGCAGACCTCTCCTGCCTTGCCCACTGCTCCCCTCAGCAGTGTGTTTTAGTCAGCCTGCCTGTTCTGTTCCCCACTCTGTCTCTGGTGAATCTTCTCACCTTGTGCACTTCTGGCCTGTACCCCATCTCTTATATGCATAAATAAATAAATATTTTTTAAAAATAATAAAAAATAAATTATATGAGCTCCTAACCCACAATCCTAGAACTAATACTGCACTCTCTGCTATAAAATTACATTTCTCTGGGCATGGCAGAGAAAGAGAAAAACAGAGGGAAACAGATTTGCGAAAGGTTATACCCTAATTTTCTAACATTCAGAAAAAACAAACACAAAATTCAACAGGCATTGTATTTCAAATCTATCTATAGGAATAAGAAGGTTAAATTCAGACTGCCTTGTTTTTAGAACCATTGCTGATGATGAGAGGACTATTATATGATTTGTGAGATTACCATCCAGCATTAATCTAGCTTTAGTTTGTTTTAAAATCCTTTCTCCAAAAACATGGTATGTACTGTCCTAATTCTACTTATCACAATAATTATTTGGTAAGGATAGCATTCCGTTATGCTTCAGTGGAATATATTCATCCTCTAGGCAAGACCAGTAATTGTAAAGCAGCAAGAATCAAAACCTTCTTTGTAAGAAAACCATTTACAACAGAGTACTGATTGAAAATTTGAAAAGAAAGTTCAATTCCTGTTCTAAAATTATTAATCAGAAGGAAGATGAATAATTTCCCTAGTAACTGGAAAATGATTGAATCAATTCCGAAATATCACCTAACAATTTTTCACTGTGATGCTCATAACAAATTCTTTTTTAATAGGGAAATGACATAAGCTTTTCATGCTTTGTGCATAGTATTTAAAATAAGAATATTCATGAACAAAAGCGGCATGCCTTAATGGGTTCAGAGTTAGGAATTATGATCCCAGACTTGTTCTTCAATGAAACTTTTTTAAATAAAATCACTTAAGTATGTATGTTACAATTATTCTTTCATGTAATATGTTTTTCTCAGGTTCATGTTTAATAAGACAACTTTGGAATATGTGGCTATAGCAAATAATGCTTAGAGTCCTAGGAAATCAGCTTCACATCTAGATACTACGGTTTGAACATGAAACTATGTCATCTCAGAGTTGAAAGCTCATCTAACCCAATATCCAGACCAATGCTTGAGGCCATCCTTTATAACATGTCCACTTTCTTTTAAAAGGACTTCATTCATCCAACAAAGATTTTTAGAGTGTCAATAATATGCAAGGAACTGCAGCAGGTATTGAAGATATAGGTTCTTGCCAAACAGTTTTTTCTTCATAAAACCTTTTAAAACAATTGATTAATTCACTGATATTAGCAATTGAAACTGCTGAGTTTTTGGTTGGTTGGTTGTTTTTTCATCACTATCATCCCTCTCCCCATCAATATCAAAAATGCAATCCAGTCTATTAGTTAAATATGGCAAAACATTTCCTAGAAAAAAAGTCCTTTGGCCTTCAGGGAGTAGCATGAATTTTATTTAAAGCCTGCTCTACTCCTTAAATTCTCAGCCACTCCCTAACTTCACCCCTTTTCTCTAACTCTTTGCCCTGCAACTTACAAAAATACACTGCACCAACTGGAAATAATATGATTAAAGGCTCTCTACTCATATTCAAATGCTTAATTGTTTTAATATTATTAGCTTATACTTGCATGACCTCCTTGTATAGTTACACCTACTAAAAATCAACATCAACCTTGTAAAATAGCTCTCACTCGCCATGCAGAGTCAGGTCCTACAGTTCAGAGGCTCTCTAGTCACTATCCTGCTTACTCCCAGCTTACATCCTTTCCCTACTACGAGTGGTGTTGAGGTCTACTCTGTTTTAATATACACCAGGCTTATTATTACTGACAGTTAAAACAGAAAGAAGAGAAAGCAAAAACAAGCAAATCATAAATTATCTTGAATTAGGTGATGCTACTTTAATGTAGAAATTTATTTCTAAACAAAATGTTTGATTCTTCTAATTTTTCTGTGGAATTTTTCCAACTCTTTTCAATAGGTAATAAAATGGATCTCCTATTAGCCTTACAAAAATCTACTACAATTTTACATATAATATGCTCTTTCATTATGTGTCATAAAAATTCTTTTGAATTAAAAAAATTGAATTAGCAGAAACCCTAAAGCACCACCCCAGGGGAAAATGTAACACTCTAATGTAAAATAACTAATTTCAACTATTGGGGATCTAGGGAATCCCATCATTTATGAAAATATTTTCACACTGCCTTTGAAGAGCAGAGTGGGAAAATGTTGAGGAAATGAGATCTTCCTGTTTCTGCCACATGTGAATAATTATCCAGCTGCATCTCCAAATAAGTATGGTTGGAAAGTTCTTTCAAAGAGTTTCTCGCAATTGAATATCAAAGGAAATTTGCATGTTTCTAAAACTATTGTTCTTGTTGCTCATGGTGGAATTATAAGGGCTCTATTGTTATCTCTAAATAATAGAGTTCAATGATTTGTAACTACAGGATCTCCCTGCAGACTTTTCTTCTTTTATTTAATAGCTGTCTAATAAGCAAAGAATGGTTTGATGAGGATAAGTTCTTTAACTTTAGGTCAAAGACGAATGTAAAATCTTTGTTGTATTTCTAATTAATCAGACTCTTTAATGTTTTATAGAAGTGTAATAAATACTCTTTATTAATATATTTTTGAATCTTTGAGAACTTTTTCTTCTATTCACACCTAAGAAAAAATATGTCACAATAATAATGTCATGCTTTCCTTTGTTGGGCAAAATATATTTTACAGATGTTATTCTTTTACTACAAATTTATCTAAAGGCTAAATCCAGTCTATTGTGTTTCAAAAGGGACTTAGCTGGTGATATCATCAAAACACATTTTATAGTAGCAAGAGGGAGCACAGTATTTGAGAAGTGAAAGCAGAGAAAGAAAGTGGTTCTGAATAGGTCATTTCCTCAGAAAAGCAAACATTTATCCCAATGTTAAAATTAAGAATTCAAAACCACTGAAACATTTTAGAAAAGGTAGTGGTAGAGAAGTAATCAGTGAAAACTTAAAAATCAACATATGCTAGTAAAAAAGATAAAACCTTCTGAATTAAAAAATGAATTTGGCCAAGAAATTTTTCTATGTGGAACATAAAAAAGTTTAAAACAAGGAAACACATACTTGGGATGAGATCTTAAAGTATAAATCTTCTTTAAATAGAAAATTGCAAAATAGATTATTAGAGGGGTATAAAGTTGGGTGAGGACTGTAGGCCTGGAGAGTGAGGTGGGTCAGAATTATAAAAACGTTCTTTTACTACAAAAAGCTGGAAATTGGAAAGGAAGTCTGGCATCTGAGAGGGGTAAAAGAGGGAGAGGAATATAAATATTTTTCCACAAACACTCCTAGATCAGGAATTTATGTGACTAAGGCATGATACATAACTGAAGTTTTTGATGAGTTTAAAAAGATGTGACTAATTTCTATGTAATTCTTTTGTGCTGTATTTATGCTCATGAAAGCAAAACTATGTTATATCCAAGTTTTAATATTTGGAGAGTTTTCCATGGTGGCTATAAAAAATACATATTTTTCCACTTCCATAATTAATCCTGGCTTTACTTCTCATCTATTATGGAGCTGTAAGCATGCTACTTTGCCTCTCTCTTTTGGTTTCCCCATCTGTAAATTGATAGTACCCAATCTATCTCAATGCTATGTGTCAAGAACTCTGATAGAATCTAATCATCTTTCTGTTGTAAAGAATGAGAGAACAGAGTTCAGGGGCCACCATAGCTGAAATGTGAACAGCAAAGGATAGAGCCAGGAGAACAGAAAAGGAGAGAGCAAGGATAGCTCCAAATCCTGTGCCTAAACTCTACCCAAATGTCAGACTGAACGGTACACTATACCCACACAGAGCACTCCAAGAAGCCCAGTTAGGACTACAAAAACAAAGAGGTACTTTAGCCATTATTCATTGTAGGGGAGAGAGAGCTGGGAACATGAGGCTAATCATGTTTACTGACTGCTAAAATTTAAAAAAGAACACTCTTTTGAGGACTATAAGAGAATCTCAGAGTCCCTAAAACAAATTATTCACAAATTTTAGGATGTAATACAAAATGCCTAAATGCACAAAAAGATAAACATGACTGATAATTAAGCAAAAAGGAAACCAATGAAAACATACCTTGAGACGACCAACCCAGGTTTTAGGGTTAGCAGACAAGGAAAATACGCTCATGATGAACGAGAAATTTACAAATCTCAGCAAGGTAATGAAACCTATAAAAAAAGTACCAATGGAAATTGTAGAATTAAAAACTATGTATATAAAATAAAACTTCACCATATCATCTTATAAGCAGATTAGAAAGGAAAGATAATCTTTAACATTTATTTAATATTTTTATAAGCTGTGGTAAGGATCTTTAACGTACAATAATATAAATTATCTATCTTAACAAAAGAAGAAAAAATATTTTAAACACTTAACAAAGTCCTAAGGATCTGTGGGAAAATAGCAAAAAACATCCTTAATTCTATATATACATTTGGAATCCCAGGAAGGGAGAGAGAGAATGGAACCAAAGCAAATATTTTAAATGACTGAAAATTTCCCAAATTTTGCCAAAAATATAAATTTAAAGATCTCAGAAATTCAGCAAATATCAAAAAGGATATATACAAAAACTATTAAGTAAAAAATTAAAAAAATATTGTAGCACATGTCTTCACACATATCACATCTATATATATTGCTGAGCCACATATATACACATGCACACACACATTTACATACTTCTTTTATCTTCCTCTAAATGACTGGTTGATTAATTTTATTTATTTTTCCTCTACACCTAAGTATATTACACAGTCTACTTGTAGGTACGTCTGAGACTAAATTTCCAGAATTAGCATTGTATAACTTCTTTCACTTTATTGTTAAATGGATGGCAAGAGTTTGTGTTCCTATAACTAATACACCAAACCTAGATATGTTAGGGTCATCCTACTAGGAAAACACAAACTTCTTTTTAATTTTCTTACATTCAGGTTATTAAAAAAACAGCAACTTCCAAAAGTAGTTTGGACTTGCTTCCCCTTCTTTGGCACAGAAGGTCAGGAACCAAGAAGGCACATTCATTATACCTCTGAGAGGTTAAGAATTCCAAGCTACCAAATACAAGTTTCTCTTTCAGGTATGGCCAGAGGAAGAAAACATGAAAACATTTGTAATTTAATTTTTTTCCTTTCTAATTCTTTTAAAGTCCCAGAGATATGTATTATCAGAAGTGGTAGAACTAATCTTCACGCCCCTTTTCTATCATCTAAGAAAGTTTGTCAAACCACCATATACAGAGTTAGTCATATACATGCAACTCTTTGTTGTCTATGTAATACCATCGTTTTTGTTGAAAATATATTCTCATTTTCATCTCAGGTGGCAAATTCCCTTTTTGAGTAGGGTAAGCATTTCCTTTTCAGAGAGTATCAAACAAAACTGTAATTATACCTAGAGGAATAACACATTAAACACATAGCCATCTTTACATTCAATAGATTTGTTTCATTCCTGTCAGATAACTGGCATCAGAGAATAGCCAGAATAGCTGTATCCCCAATAGAAAAGGACTGATGGCATTGTACCGTAGGTTAGAGTTAGTAAGAGTGTTCTTGGGGTAGAAGTGAAAGCATAAAATCACTAAGAATCCTGGAGTTGAGTAAGATACAGAAAGAGGAAGTTGTCCCTAAATTCCATTTCATAATTTTGCCTATAATACCCCATACACATTAAATAATTAAAGCATGATCAATGTACATTTAAATAATTTTGGTATAAAGTAAAATTCATCATAACTTAATTATTCAATCATAACTTAATTATGATAGAAGTCTTAAGATTCTATACTATGATCTGCTAGAAAAATCAGAAGTAAAAGATATACTTATCTCACATTATTTCCATTTCACTGTAAAATAAATGAAAATAATATGTTTCCCTTTATCAGTGAAAATCATATTTAAGATGATAAATGAAAACTGATGAATCAGATTAAAAATAAGACTTTTGACACTGTGCTAAAAAAAAAATCTTATAAAAACTCTTGAGGAATTTTTTTTAAAGCCATAGTTAAACAATCCAAAATTTAGAAACACATTAAAAGGGGGTGATTTTTTTTTAATCAGTAGCCTTTCATATGAATTTCATTAACACATTAATCTGTACCAAAATGGCCACCACGCAAGATCAAAAACGGAGCAAGTCCTTCCTCAAATGTTTGTTACTATGACAAAAGACACACAAAAAAGAAAAAATTAGGGCATAAGCTAATCCTGTTTAGGCACTTGTGAAAATGTTCTAATTAAAATTTGGTATACAATGGGGATGAAGGTTAATTAATCATTTCTTTACATCAATTATATTTAATATTTTCCAAATAATGGAAGATTTTTGTAGTGTACATATGAAGCACATTGAGATCAGCAGAGAGGGCAACTTCGTGTATTTTAAGGTATAAATTTTAAAGCTTCAAAACCTTCATAGCAGATCTAAGATTACCCTCATCCAACATCTGATTGCTCTAACCACCCCACACCTGCCTCTTCCAGTTACCCTGCACTGCCACTCCACTCTGTATAGCTTCCTTCCTGCCAACCCCCTGCGTACAAGTAAAATTTACACTTTTCCTCAAAAATCACACCCAATCACTTGCCTAATTAATTCAAGGAGGGAAAAGTTCAACTTTCTCCCCTTTCCCTCTGCCACTCCTCCCTTTCTCTTCCCCTTTTACACCCCCTCCACTGAGAATTTAAAATATTCTCCCAACTCCTCCTCCCAGTCCACTGTCTTAGTTCAGGATTCAATTACTGTCCAGCTGTCCCTCTTAGCTCTACCTGAGCATGCTCCAGCTTCCCTAATGGCAGCTCCATAATCTTCCCAAGGATACACACTTTACTGAGTGACTAACCTGCTGAAAGTCCCTCAGTTGCACCATCTCACCCCCATTAGAATGGCTATGAGCAAAAATAAGAAAAAAACAAGAAAAAATAACAAGTGCTGGCAAAGATGGAGAGAAATCTGGAACCCTTGTGTACTGGTGCTAAGGATGTAAAATAATGCAGATATGGTGTGAAAACAGTATGACAATTCAATTGAAAATTTAAGATATGATCCAGTAAATCCATTTTTTGATATAATAATCCAAAAAAAATTGAAAGCAGGGCCTCCCCTGGTGGCGCAGTGGTTGAGCGCTGGGCTACAAAGCTGCCCGCAGCCTCTGAAGCACCAGTTTGATTCCCGGCCGCCATTGAGGGTCCCACAGACCTCTCCTGCCGCACCCACTGCTCCCCTCAGCAGTGTATTTCATCACTCTGCCTGTTCTGTTGCCGGCTCTGACTCTGGTGAATTCTCTCACCCTCCCGTGCTTCTGACTGTACCCAGTGCTTGTATAAAAATAAATAAATCTTTTAAAAAAAATAATTGAAAGCAGTATTTTGAAGAAATGTGTATACCCATTTTCATAACAACATTATTCCTAATAGGCATAAAGGTAGAAGCAACCCAAGTATCCATTAATGGATGAAGGAATAAACATAATGCGGTATATAAATACACTAGAAAATTATTCAGCCTTAAAACAGAAGGAAACTATGCCACTACAATGTGGATGAATTGGATAATACTGAGCCATCACAAAAGACAAGTACTACATGAATTCATTTATCTGGGGTATTTAAAGTTGACAAATTTATATAAACAGAAAGCAGAATAGCGATTTCCAGGGGACTGGAAGGAGGCGGTAAAGGAAACTTGGTCTGGGATTGGATACACAGCAATGTGAAGGTACCTAACACCACTAAACTATAAACTTAAACATGGTTACAATAGCAAACTTTATGTGATATGCATTTCTCACAATTAAAAATTTTAAAGAGAGAGAAAAAGAATACCTCAGTGGCTACACACGCTATTCAGTAGAATCTTGGGGTGAATGCCTAGGTCCTATAAATAGAAGATCCTTCATGATCTCTCCGCTGACTGCTCCCTCCACCACTCACACATTGAAGATATAAATGGACCAAAAATGTTCCCAGATGCCAGCCTCCTTTCACAAGCCTCTGACTCCCAACACATTTGCTGAATTTCCTTCAGATATGGTGGTTTTGCCATGAAGTCAATGAAGCTGAAACAGCAGGGCCCTTCACCAGCTCCTTCCAAAGCCATGCATTTAATTTTTTTTTCCTTAAAAGAGTTCCCTTCCCTCCAGATAAAATGTGTATCAGTTTCAAGTCCCACCAATCTGGACCCACCTCTAAGTACCCCATATATCAGTAAGATACCCTTTCATTCCCAGGGTTTTCTATGAGAATTCGGTCCCCACCCCTCATTTGGTGAAATATATATTGTCATATTGTATATGTATTGTTACATACATTGTATTGCAATTGATCTGCCTTTCAAATCAAGTTATAAGCTTCCTGCAGAAAGGGTATTATTTATCTCTCTAATTTCTGGAACACAACACATGGAAAAAAACATATGAATTGGTGAAAGTTGGTGATAGTTAGAATTAATTCAGTCTGTAGTATTTCCCCCGTCCCTGACTCATCTCTCCTTTATTTAGTTAAAAATAGACAAATTTAGAAACTTGGGAATTTGTATGCTATGTCAAGAGAAAGTTAAACAGGTTTAATTTGATTTCCTGGGCTTTTTGAAGCCCATTTATGTTAAGTCATACAAAGCACCCTAATAAAAACGAGGATTTGGATTTAAATGAACTATATATAAACTTGACCTCTTAGTTGAGAGAAAAGTTAAAGTTGGACTAAATATTTCTATCTGCACAATGTGCAAACATTTCCAAACATACAAATCATGTCCCTAGAGTAAAACAAAGAAAGTTCCTAACATTAAAAGTTGTCATGGAATGTTTCTTAGATTCTCAAAAGCTTAAGTAGAAATTGACTGAAAGTATTTCTGTATTCTCAGACAGAACTAATACTTTTGAATAATTAAGTGTCAAGTAAGTTAGTAAGAATAAAATTAACAATGTAGGGGCCTCCCCAGTGGCGCAGCGGTTGAGCTCTGGGTTGCGAAGCTGCCCGCAGCCTCTGCAGTGCCTGTTCGATCCCCGGCTGCTCCCCGGCCACCGGAGGAGGGTCCCACATGGCGCGCAGACCTCTCCTGCCGCCCGCTGCTCCCCTCAGCAGTGTACTTCGGTCCTTCTGCCTGCTCTGCTCCCTGCTCTGGCTCTGGTGAATTCTCTCACCCTCCTGCGCTT